CTGCTTAGATGGTGGCCTCACAACGTTCGCTCGATCAGGCTATATGCGTGCCACATTGGAGCCTCGCGCATTTCCCATTGTTCTTTCCCGTCGAACTACTTGTAGATTTATATAGATATCAGATATTAACAATCTCACTATATGAATAACCCTCGAATCTTCTAATGATCCTGAGTCGTCATGGACAGAGCCTAAATGGCCCCCGAGACGATACAGGAGCTTCTCTGTAACCCCTGTTGTGTTAATAGTGCTGGGATGTCTTCTCGTACTAATAATTTCACTATACCAAATTATCATAATCCGTCCTATTCGGCGAAATACGTCCGAGCGCCGTGTCTTCTCGCGAGATGTGGGCTTGTCGCTACTAGGCTACAAGCCGTACCACTTCCCTAGCCTCTCAACCGCATCAATCACTCTAGCGTATCGTCGTACATCAACGTGATATGGCCATCGCTCAAGAAGGTAAACGTTCACCGTACGTAGTAGGTGAATCCATATTCGAGCGCGTATAAGGAATCATGTAAGAGTGCCAATGACCAAGGTATCGGTTAACATATGGTCACTTTTGGAGGGAAGGTATCATACTGAACGCGTGAACAGGAAACTTCGTGGCGAGCGAGAAATTCTGAAACGTCGGACGATGTGTTTCTTGCTTGAGTTAGTCAGCAGCAGTGGTATTGGATTTGTAATGGGTGGCAGGCGCCTTCTCCACGGCAATTACTTCACACGTTACCTTTTCGGCTCACTCGCTGTTATCTGGATTGCCGAATATGCTGCTGCCTGTCAATACGGTGTATTCAATGGATCGACGAGGACCTATTTCGTATCTTGCTTGCTCAACCTCTAGATACCACGCCATCGTAATCCCAACTGGATGTGGTCTTGGTGGCTCGAGAAGCAGAACCAGATAAAAAATGTGAGCTTTTCATCTCCGTCGTCCAGCTCCTCCAACTCCTCCTTCTCCCCTTCAGGGTGAGATACCAGCCAACACCCCAGGTTATGCTATGGTCAAGTGGAACAATGAGGCCGAACAGAGATGGCTCAAGACGCTCAATGTTGAGGCTATGAACGAGGAGTAAGGCTGTCGGACCTTGTCCGTGGCACTCACTATTCAATCTCAGATTCGCCCGCCGTCGGGAGGCTTACTACAAAGGTCATCACGGTGGTCACTAATATGCCCATACTCACTTGTTATTACATCCGTACGCTAGGGCGTCGGAATACGAAAGGTCGATCAGCGTTGTGATATGGAAGGACGCTTTTGTGAAGCTTGTGTTGCGCTGTGCGTAGTCTAGAGACAAGAGTGACAAGTTTTAGTCTCTATTGGCAATGATGACCAAACGTTCCTTTTTTTCTGAAGTAGTCTGTCGGCTCGTTGCTGGCCAATGCTGCTCGG